GTAATGGTGAGCCCCAGGTGAGAAGAGGCCCGGGCTCTGGCTCTGTGCAACCATGGGACCCTGAGGTCAAGCAACTGGGCGTAAGCCCTCCCTCTGGGACACGTCCACGGTTGGCGTTTTATCTTCTTAAAGAACCCGTGACTTACTTTCAAGAATTCTTAGTGAGTTTTAAGGGAGGGTGACAGAACTGTTCACACTTCCCTTCTGAGAGCCATGACAGAAGAGTTACACATAAGGCACATGATTTTTTTTAAAGCATGCACTGTAAATATTGCAAATTCTGGGATGTATGAGAAATGTGACTCCTTGAAGTTCACAGGGGCCTTTGCTATGAGATCAGTGACATGTTCTGTTGTTCATATTCTTGAAAAAGATTTACTTATTTGTCTGAAAGGCAGAGTAACTGAAAGACAGACAGACAGAACTTCCACCTGCTGATTCATTCCCCCAATGGCTGTAACAGCCAGAGCGAGGCCAGGGTGAAGTCAGGAGCCAGGAACTCCATCTGGGTCCCCCAGGTGGGTGACAGGGACTGAAGTCCTTGGGCCATCACCCGCTGCCTTCCTAGAAGCATCAGCAGGGAGCTTGGCCAGAAGCGAGGAGTGAGCCCAAACTCCCATGGGGTGCAGACTGCTCAGCCCCCTGCACCACACTGCCTGCCCCTGCCGCCCACACTCCAGTGGCTGAGGCAGGCCCAGAACTCAGGCAGCAGTGCAGGGAGAGAGCTCATTGATGTCTTTAAAGACAAAGGGCTCCCTTGGGTGGACTTGGGAGGATTTCCTAGTATGTAAATACAGAGATGGGCCAGGAAAGACCAGAGCCGAGAGAATGGCATGAGCTGTTGGCTTGTAAATGTTCATAGGAAAGTACTTGACGTGGAAACAGAAAGAAGTTTCCAAGCACATAAGAAAAATCCCCTTGCCACCTCCATTTCTCCCACCCACATTCTGCAAAAAGGGAAGACGGAGGAGGAAGGAGCAGAACAAGGCTGAGGAAGAAGAAAAGTATCTATATGAAAGTGTCTATATGAAAAGTATCTATATGAAAGTGTCTATATGAAAGTGTCTATATGAAAAGTATCTATATAACCCTTCTCCTCGAGGGAACAGCACTCCGGAAGGCAAATCCCAGGCAGGGGAGTCAGGGAGCCACAGCAAACACCAGCAGAAAAAGTCTCCACGTTGTGACTTCCTGCACGTGTATGGATGTATTGATGCGCATGGCCTGTCCCCACGTGCTGAGGGTATTGATCAAAAAGGGGGAAAGCCTCTCAGTCTTACAGGTGTGCCCTAGACCCCCGTGAGACCCGAGTTGGGCCAGCTTTTCTGTCTGCTATTCAGTCAGTGCCCGGACACTAAGCACAGCTCACACTTCTCCTCTGGGTGCGGCCTTTAGGTCGGGAGCATGGCCTGGCTCCCTCAATACTCACAGCCCCACCAGCTCTTCTTCGCATCTGAAAAGCTGGGGCACAGAGAGGTTGTGTAAGTAGCCTAAGGTAGCTCAGTGAGCAGGGGTGGTTTTGACTGTGGAGTCGGCCCTTTTAGCCTTCAAACTGTGCTCAGCCCAGACTCCGCCATGAGAGGGCTCAGCTCGGCCAACACTGGATGAGTGAGGACAACCTCTGTCCCGAGATAGGAGTGGGAAGCTGGAATGTGATGCCTTGTATAATGGAATATGATTCAGCATGAGACAGAACGAGGTAGCATTTACACAAGAGCACTTCCAAGGGTTCACGGGAAAAGTGGAATTAAAACTTTATGTCAAGTGCAAACCTTTTAAATCACGCAGTTTTCTTTTTTAATAACACATATTTTCCATGCACTTTTAGAAGAAGCCCTGTGCAAGGTGGAATGGAACCATCTCCAAAATCCAGCACCAATTTTTTTTTTTTTACAAATAGAGCAAGGTGAGACCTTGGCCTGTCCCCATTTGTACCTGGGAGAATATGTCAGTTCCTGGGCCTGCCCCTGGGCAGGGGCGCAAGGCCTGGGGAGCTAGAGATTTGGGATGAGAAGAAAACATTTGCTGTCCATTCATTCGTACATTTTGAATTTTTGAAACCCTATGTAGGCTGGCGCCGTGGCTCACTAGGCTAATCCTCCACCTTGCGGCACCGGCACACTGGGTTCTAGTCCCAGTCGGGGCGCCGGATTCTGTCCCGGTTGCCCCTCTTCCAGGCCAGCTCTCTGCTGTGGCCCCGGAGTGCAGTGGAGGATGGCCCAAGTGCTTGGGCCCTGCACCCCATGGGAGACCAGGAGAAGCACCTGGCTCCTGCCTTCGGATCAGCACGGTGCGCCGGCCGCAACCGGGACAGAATCCGGCACCCTGACCGGGACTAGAACCCAGTGTGCCAGCGCCGCAGGCGGAGGATTAGCTTATTGAGCTACTGCGCCGGCCGAGATCTACTTTTTTTTTTTTTTTTTTTTTTCGACAGGCAGAGTGGACAGTGAGAGAGACAGAGAGGAAGGTCTTCCTTTGCCGTTGGTTCACCCTCCAATGGCCGCCGCGGCCGGCGCACAGCGCTGATCCGATGGCAGGAGCCAGGTGCTTCTCCTGGTCTCCCATGGGGTGCAGGGCCCAAGCACTTGGTCCATCCTCCACTGCACTCCCGGGCCACAGCAGAGAGCTGGCCTGGAAGAGGAGCAACCGGGACAGAATCCGGCGCCCTGACCGGGACTAGAACCCGGTGTGCCGGCGCCGCAGATGGAGGATTAGCCTATTGAGCTGCGGCGCCGGCCAGAGATCTACTTTTAAAGGAGGATTCTGTTCTGTTGGAAGAAAATGACTCCTGCCTTGTGAATTTCCACAACTGCCTCTCACTGTCACTCGTTCTAATCCTTGATTTGCCAGAAAGCAGCCTACACCAGGAACCTGGTTCACATCACTCACAGCACAGAGGAGGCTGAACCAAGCAGCAGCAGGTTTGAGAAGCTCTGGGTTTGTGAGCCTGCCCTGTACCCAGCGCCCTGAGGGTGAGCGACAGCACCAAATGACCATTTGTTAAATCAAACACGATCCAGCCGTAGGTGCGTTAAGCACCCCAGAAATTAGGACTGGAAGGAATGTAAAGGTTTGGTCCAGCCCACGCAAGTCAGGGTGGCGTGAAAGAACGTCCACGTGACTGGGGTGGCCCACCGCCCTTGCACCACCCCGGCCTGGCGGTGCCATCGCTTGGTCAGCTGCAGTGGCGCAGGTCCTGTGCACAGGGGTCTGGGGCAGGCCAGAGGCCCTTCCACCATGGGATGTGTTACTCACCGCCAAGGTCAGGGAATGGAGCAGCAGCACACAGCTCGGGGAAACTTTAGAGCAGCTGCTGGCCCCTTCCCTCCTCCTCTGGCTGCACTGCCCCTCTGCAGCTGACAGACCAAGAGCTGGCGCCTCTGCCCTACCCCCCTCTGCCTGTTCCTCCCCTCCTCTCCCTTTCCTGCCTCTCTTTCTCCAGCTGACCTCTGCCCTCCGCGGGTCCCTCCTTCCCTCCTTTTTAACCCTCTCCCTGTTCCAGAGCTGTCCAAGACAGACGCTGCGGGCTTTTATTTTCCCTCACGTGTTTTGGTGCCTTTCCATATCAACATTTATCTTTTAAAGTAAAATTCCATAAGTTGTGGGGAACTGAGAGTCACTTAAAATAGCAAGAGGGTACATTTCGTAGCCAGAGCTTGACCCGAGGATTTGCGGTGATGCCATCTATTTGTTTGATTTGTCATGCCTAATGTAGTGAGGGAACTCATTTATGGTATTTTAAAACTCAAGACAGCTTTGCTTAATAGTCAGCATTTTATTATCAAAAATAGTTTGAATTTTCTTTTAATGAGGTGATGCCTAAGAAATCTGTTGCTTGTAACTTCAAAGAGTTGTTTCTCTTGGATTTTTTTTTTTTAATCTTAGCCAAGTAGCTGAATTAGACATGCTGACAGAAAACGGCTGTCTTTCATGGTGCATACCGATCTGCCAGGTAGGCTAGGAAAGTAACCGAGTGCCTGTTTCAGCAGAAAAGAAGTCGAGAATTCTTTTTTTTTTTTTGACAGGCAGAGTGGACAGTGAGAGAGAGAGACAGAGAGAAAGGTCTTCCTTTCCCATTGATTCACCCTCCAATGGCCGCCACGGCCGGCGCACCGCGCTGATCTGATGGCAGGAGCCAGGTGCTTCTCCTGGTCTCCCATGGGGTGCAGGGCCCAAGCACTTGGGCCATCCTCCACTGCCTTCCCGGGCCACAGCAGAGAGCTGGCCTGGAAGAGGGGCAACCGGGACAGAATCCGGCGCCCCAACCGGGACTAGAACCCAGTGTGCCGGCGCCGCTAGGCGGAGGATTAGCCTAGTGAGCCGCGGCGCTGGCCTGAGAATTCTTGATTGGAAGACTCCAGAATGAGTTGAAAAGGGTTAGGAGTCACTTAACCAAGAGTCACTGAAACTCCCTTTTCCAAGAGAAAAAAATAAAAAAGATTTAAAAGGGGTGAGTGCTTGGTGCGATGGCTAAGTCGCTGCCTGGGACATCGGCATGCACTGTCGGGGTGCCTGCTGTGAGACCTGGCCCCTGGCTTCCTGCTAGCGTGCGCCCTGGGAGGCAGCAGTGTGCCTCAAGTACCTGGGGTCCCCCACGAGGCACCTGCATGGGGTTCCGGGCTCCTGGCTTCAGCCTGGCCTACCCCTGGCTGTTGCAGGCATTTAGGGAGTGAATCAACTGATGGAACATCTCCCTCTCTCTCTCTTGCTGCCTTTCAAATAAAAGAAAAACAGGATTAAAAAAAAAAAAACACCTCTCATCTCAACTACTTTTAACGCTTAAGGTGAAATAAAGAAAAGCAACTGAGTAGCATGTAACTTTTTAACCAAAATATAAATTTTCCCTTTTTTGGTTCAAAATGTGGCACCGGACACAGCTTTCTGTCCTTCCCAAAGGTGCGACCCTCACTGGAAAACCTCATGACCCTTAACATATAGAGGAAAATCAGCCCAAGGCATGAGTGGCTGCAGGAAATGGAATTCAGGAGACAGATACTCACGTTCACCCTCATTTTGATCCTGCAAGGAAGTTACTTGGAAAGGCGCTTATTCCCCATCCCGGCAAAGCGGCAGGAATCGCGCGCAGCAGGAGGGAGAGCAGCCGGCTCCGTGCAGCCGGACCTCTAAGCTGCGTGTGCCTGCCCAGCCCTCTGCCTGCAGCTGTCCGTCAATATCAGCTGACCCGGGCTGAAACCACCAGTCCCCAGAGGCTCCCTCCCCCATCCACCTGCGCGCACACAGCCCTCGTGGCTGGTTTATCTGTCAGCACTGGGGGCGAAGAAGTGAAGACACCTGGCGCACTTGGAATGAACACGGAGAGGGGACATAAATGGCTCAAAAGGCCGGCGCCACGGCTCACTAGGCTAATCCTCCGCCTTGCGGCGCCGGCACACCGGGTTCTAGTCCTGGTTGGGGCGCCGGATTCTGTCCCGGTTGCCCCTCTTCCAGGCCAGCTCTCTGCTGTGGCCCCAGAGTGCAGTGGAGGATGGCCCAGGTGCTTGGGCCCTGCACCCCATGGGAGACCAGGAGAAGCACCTGGCTCCTGCCATCAGATCAGCGCGGTGCGCCGGCCGCGGCGGCCATTGGAGGGTGAACCAACGGCAAAAGGAAGACCTTTCTCTCTGTCTCTCTCTCTCACTGTCTAACTCTGCCTGTCAAAAAAAAAAAAAAAAAAAAAAAAAAAAAAGGCTCAAAAGGATGATGCCTGTTTCGGCAGCTCTGCTGCACCTGGCCCTGGAGGACGGCATACTGTGCACAAAGCCAGGCTGGCGCTGGCTTCCCTGGGATGCTGAACTCTGACCCACCCACCAAGCCACACTCTGCAGGGACTTCCATAACCACAGGAGGCACTGCCACCAAAGGGACTTTGAGAAAGAGGTTGTGGCCTGGAAAGAAAATTCCAACGCTACCAGTGGAAGTGAAACCTTTTCTTCCCTGATACCTGAAGATTGTGGCTTTCAAGTAGGTTTGGATCTTGCCCAGATCATCCTGCTTGGGTGTACTTCCTGTGTTCACAGGGCCCTGGCTTAATGCAGTGTTAGTATCTCACTCACTGGGCCTCTGGCCCCTCCTGAATGTCTGTGTGTCGGGGAGCTCCCTTGGTCTAAGCTCAGGACGGAAGGGATGCAACCACCCAGGTCTTCCGGGCCTCTGGGTAATTCATGCTCTATGATGTGGCCCGGGATGGGTCCAGGTCATAGCAAACCGGATTGTTAGATATCCTACCGAATTTATTCCAAGCCTTCACGTTACACCACGGCCTCCGCATCCACTCCCCACTAGCTGAGCCCCCCTTCCTGCCCCGCACTAGCTGAGCCCCCGAGGTATTTGGTTGGGGAAATGGAGGGTCTGGGACGAGTGCTGGGTAGAGGTGGGTGGTTGAGGAGTGCACCCTGGTAATGAGAAAGTCACCGAGGGAGGAGGGTGGGGGCTAAACGCCCGGCTCCAGGTTCCTCATGTCCAAGTGTAGTGCTTCCAGGGGTGATCTCCAGGTTCCCGCTCAGCTGCAAAACCGACTTCTTTCATCATGCTTTTCTCTTAGTTCATGCAAACCATCACGGGAATTGCAAGAGAAACCCCACATGTAAGTGCTTTTCCTTTCTAATTGCTTTTCTCCGCTTTTTGCTTTCCTGGAAGGGCGTGCAGGGAGAAGGAGTTACTTGATCAGTTAACAGCAATTATGCCCACTCCAGTTAGGACAGCGCTTGGTCTTGGACTGCGTGTCTCCCGAGTGCTGTGGCTGGCAGCTGCGTTCTTCCTGCCACAACCAGGGGTTGCCTTATGTTTGTAAAAGTAAAATGCTAGGTTGAGCCGGTTTTCAAAACTCAACTCTTGCTAGCAAGATTCCATGTGAAATCACAGATCTGATGGGCCGGTGCTGTGGAGTAGCGGGTAAAGCCACCGCCTGTAGTGCCAGTATCCCATATGGGCACTGGTTCAAGTCCCGGCTGCTCCACTTCTGATCCAGCTCTCTGCTGTGGCCTGGGAAAGCAGTAGAAGATGGCCCAAGTCCTTGGGCCCCTGCACCCACGAGGGAGAACCGGGAGAAGCTCCTGGCTCCTGGCTTTGAATCTGCACGGCTCCAGCCATTGCAGCCAACTGGGGAGTGAACCAGTGGATGGAAGACCTCTCTCTCTGTCTCTCCTTCTTTCTCTGTGTAACTCTGACTTTATGGTGTGGTGATTTTTTTTTTATTTGACAAGTAGAGTCAGACAGTGAGAGAGAGAGAAAGGTCTTCCTTCTGTTGGTTCACCCCCTAAATGGCTGCTACGGCCGGAACTACGCCGATCCGAAGCCAGGAGCCAGGTGCTTCTCCTGGTCTCCCATGGGGTGCAGGGCCCAAGCACTTGGGCCATTCTCCACTGCCTTCCTGGGCCACAGCAGAGAGCTGGACTAGAAGAGGAGCAACCGGGACTAGAACCCGGCACCCATATAGGATGCCAGTGCCGTAGGCGGAGGATTAACCAAGTGAGCCACGGCGCCGGCCTATAACTCTGACTTTAAAGTAAAATAAATAAATCTTTTAAAAAGTAACTTTCTGTTTTTTTTTTTTTTTAAAAAAAGAAATCAGATTTGATCAGCTGGCACTAGCTTTTTCTGATGGTATTTAAGACACACAGCTCCCTGCCTTGTCCTGTTTCCATCTGATGCGTCAGGGAGAATTCGAAGCTGGCTCTGGCTCTTCTATTTATTTTTTTAAAGATTTATGATTTGAAAGCAGAGCAGCGGGGTGGGGGAGGGAGACATCTCCCATCTGCTGCTTCACTCCCCACATGCCCACAACAGGCAGGGCTAGCCCAGGCCAAAGCCGGGAGCCAGGAATTCCATCCTGGTCCCCCACAGGGATGGAGGGACTCAAGTAGCTGGGCCATCTTGCACAGCCTTCTCAAGCTGGGCCGGAAGCGGAGAGGCTGGGCCCGGGTGTGGGATGCTGGCGTTGGAAGCAGCAGCAGCACAACCCACTGGGCCCAACAGCAGCCCTGCCTCAGCGCTCGAGAACTTAGTCAAGGTTTGAGCTGGTTCACGGAGTTCCCCACTTTCCAGGGTCGTCTTGGGAGGCGTTTTGGGCGGCAAGGAGCCATCCTGGAGTTTCTGCATTCCTTCTTCCATTCTGTTGCCGTGAACTGATTCCTGTTCGCGAGCCTCAGGATTTGGCAACAGGCTCCCAGCCAACCCGTCCTGTTTCATTAGGAGCCAAAGCCGGTGGGAGAGAGTGCCTAATGTTACCGGCCCGTTTATTTGGTGCAAAAGGGAGTGTGTAGAAATGTTCTCCCTAGTAACTGACCCCCCGCCTCCTCCCCCTTCCAACCTTGGGGTGAGCGTAAATCCTGAGCCCAAAGCTGACATCCCACAAAGCGCTTTTTACTTTTGCTCACCCACTGGGAGCCATCTCTTGGGGAGAGAGGACTGCTTCAAACCTCACTTTCCTCTCCCCAAAAGACAGACTGCCTGGGCCGTGGCCAACAAGCCAAAGCTGCTCGTGCTTGATTCTCGGGCAGGACAGGACTTGGCAGGACAAGCGCCGCGCTCACATCCACGAATGGCAAACTGGCGTTTACCGTCCATTCCTCCGGGGAGGAGATGCCTGTGGGTCCCTCGCCAGGGCCTAGCGCCTGCTGCCGGAGGGCTCTAAGCCTGGGGTAGCGCGGGGCCTGTGGGAGGGATGCTGGCCCGGGCACAGACAGGCCCACGGTAGTCCTTGCTGGGAACTCAGCTTCTCACAGGTGAGGGTACGTGACTCCTCTCCCTGGGGCCCAGGCCTGATGAATAACATCTGGAAATGGTTCCTACAAAACATAGTTCCCTTTTCTGCGACTCACGTCGGAGTCTCCTAATCTCACCCTCAGTGGCATCTCTGTAAGCGGCCTCCCACCTTCCTCCTTTTTGAGTGATTTCCCCTCTGATTTGTCATTTCCTCCCTTAGTCATCGCAGCTCCAGGATGCCCTGTTGTCTCTCGGCCGCTTCCCTATTCCACTATCATGTAGCCCTCTTGTCTCGAGTCTTCTCCTAACACAGATGTTTCAAGCTTTTCTTTTTTTTTTCCTGGGGGGGGGCTGGCACTCTTCTTTTTTAAAGATTTATTTGAAAGAGTTATACAGAGAGGGAGGGAGAGAGAGAAAGAGAGAGCAAGAGAGAGAGAGCGAGCTTCCTTCTGTTGGTTCACTCCATAGATGGCCAAAATGGATGGGGTTGGGCCAGGGCAAAGCCAGGAGCCTCATCCGGGTTTCCCACATGGGTGCCGGGGCCCAACACTTGGACCATCTTCTCCCAGGTGTGTAAGCAGGGAGCTGGATCAGAAGTCGAGTGGCCCGGACTTGAACCTGCGCCCATGTGGGATGCTGGCTTTGCAGGCGAGGATTTAATCCACCATGCTACAATGTTGGCTCCCTTTCTCTTTTTTCATTTAAATGGGTTCTACAGGGAATAAAATGTTCAGTGGATAAAAGTAATTAGGCAGGGGGAAAAACAGTGGTTGTGTAATAGATTTTTGAATTAACTGTCACACAATGTACTAGGTACTGGGAAAAGAGACCAGGCATCCTTGTCCTGCGTGGCAATTAGAATGGCGCCTGCACTGGGCGTCTGGAACGAACGGACTGTACATCGTCTCCCCATCACACAGGGCATGTGGAGTTCACGCCTTTGTTTACTCCTTTCTGCTCACGCTCCTGACAGCAGCAAACACCGGAAGCTGTACTTTTCCAACAGACAGAGAAGCGAGCCTTCTGCAGGTCTGTGGGAAGGAGCTGGTAGCATCCACGGCGGGAGAGGAAGCCACCGACTCTCAACTCCTGGTCCTCTCCCGGCTTCGGCCCTTTCCCGCCTGCAGGGCACCTGCTGCACCTCGAGGGAGGGATCTTTGGAAAGCACAATCAGACCAAGTCCTTTCCTGCTTTACGTGGACGGTGGCTTCCTTGCCGAGGCAGAATGCACCAGATCTTCTCTCTAACCCTCTCCCCTTCATTCCTCTGTTCCAACCACACTGGCCTTCTCACAGAATCTCTGCTACGCTGAACTCATTCTCACCACAGGGCCTTTGCATCTGCTGTGCCTCCTGCCCAGAACCCCCTTCCTATCATTAGGTCTACAGAGTGGCCCTTTACATCTGACACCCCAATTTATTCTCTTTAAGGCAGTTGCCACCGGCTGAAATCTCTGTGTCTACTCATTTTCTGCCATTCCGACTCCAGTGTCAGCTTGGGCTCTTGAGCCCTATGAGCCCCCAGAATTCCAGGATGACATGCTGGGTGCAACTGCATGTGGGCTGCTTAGCCTTGGGAGACCGAGAAGGGATGAAGTTGCTGGACAAGGTCAGAGAGAGGCCATGGACGCTTGTGACCTTGACTTCAATCCTGAGGACTCGAACTTAAAGCAATGTCTGATGATGGAGGAGGAGAGGCCAATGGGAAGAGCCTGGGGCTGAGTGGCGGGTCAGGCTGGGGCCAAGCAGGGGCTGGGGGCTGAGTCTCAGGGGCCACCTCTGTTCTCAGACCGACAACCAGGAAGGGCCCCCTTCCTCTCACATGACAGGTGGCCAGGGCCCCACTGCACGCCCCCGCCCCCTCCTACACACAGGATGTTGACAATGTGAGGCTTTTTCTCTCACATTCCACGTCTCTGCAGTTGTTGAG